AACGTCTCGGTTACGTATGGTAATCCTCGTTCCCTGAAGGAGGGAACGGAGACGTCACGTCCGGTCGCCACAGCTCCTGTACCACCGCTGAGCGGCCGGGTCACCGGCTCGGCTCCTCAGTGAAAACCTGAATATGCGCTGCATCTGCTGCCTACTTATACTCACGCTGTGATCAGCGGCAGCTGGATGCAATAATCGCATGCCAATGTGCATTGGCTCGTTTAGTTTACACTCGAAGTAGATTGGTCTCTCTAAGCGAGATCCCAATTCGACGGTCATCCGACGTGACGTCTCCGTTCCCTCCTTCAGGGAACGAGGGTTACCATACATAACCGAGACGTTTTGTGATTGAATCAAACAGAGGAAAGCAATGAGGGTTGGTAAAAAATAACTCGTAGCGGACTGTAGCTGTTTTGACCAGTTCTTTTTTCACAGTCATATCAGATAGCAGTCACTCAGATATTATGAGTGTAGTAATGCATAAAATGAGATATTAAGAATGAGTGTTGAATTAATCTTGGAATATTTTAGGATTTTAAATATCACACTACTGTTCAAAAGTTTGGAGTCAGCAAGATTTGTTTGTGTTTGAAAGAAGAGTGTTATCCTCACCAAGGCTGCATTCATTTAATAATAAAAAATAACAGTAATATTGCAATATGTTTTTACTCTACTTTTTGATCAACTTAATGAGTCCTCACTGAATAGAAGTATTACTTTATTTCAAAGAGAGAGAGAGAGAGAGAGAGAGATCTTACTGAACTTTTGAATGGTAGGGCGTACAATAATCAATAAATCAATCAATCAATATACAAATAAATAAGAAACATTTTCATTAGCTGTCTCCAACTGCTGGACCCCACAGTACAGAGCAAACTGCTTCTCTTAAAGTCCTCATAGAGTCTTCCCTAGGCTGTTTTGAGGATTTAAACATTCACATAGAACATAAACATAGTTCTTGGCCTGAGATATTTGTGCAGTCAAAACAACACTTCCAAATGTGGCAGTGTGGGATGGCCTTCCCTTCTTCGGGTGGTGTCCCTTTATGAGAGTGATTAATGAGGATAATTAATGTCAGAGTATTTAAATGTCTGGGCAGGAAGCATTAGAACGTAGCCTCTGTCGTACCCGCCCCTCTTCCGGTCTTCAGTGTCACAGTAGTTGAAGTAGGTGATGGTTGATTACGCGTGTATTGTGTGTTTTAGTCTATTATAGTAATGCTCGTTCTTGTTTTTATATTGGCAAGATGTTGTTGCAGCCGTGCCTGTTAAGTCCTCGGTGAGCTTCGTCAAGCGCTCGTTGGAAGTTTTAGGTATGCAGGCTGTTGTATTGTTATGTGTTGATTTTCGTTTTGAATTATTAGTCTGAAGTGTTTCTTTTGTGTGTTTTTAGTGAAACAATATTTATGAAGACATCCTAACATCCTATGCTTGTGTAACTGCGGATCGGAGTATGTATGATGCGATAATTGTTTGGCAATATGTTTTTTGGGGTGTTTCTGATTATTGTTTTGTTTTTGCAGTCTTCCGCAGTCCAGTTGATGACCAACTCCGGGTCGTGCTGCTGTTTTTCATAGTTTGGTTTCTTGTGGTGTGAAAATAGTGTTTGGTGCGCCGAAGGGGAGGCTAGTCACCTGGGTGAAGCACACAGTTGTGAGTTTGGAGCACCAGGGTTTGAGCACCTCTTCCTATTGTTTGCTGTGCACACATGTTTGGTTGAGAGCACTGTTTATTTCAGCTAGTTTGCCACCCCTAAGGTAAGCTTTAGCCTTGTTGCTTTCCCTTATTTTTGTAAGAATTTGTGTTTATATTGGTTGGCGGGGAAGGTACAAAGTTTCTTTATACTTGGGGGATTGTTTTTTTTGTCTTGTGTTAGTTTTTTTTTGTATTATGAATGTGTAGTAAAGTTTTTTTTTTTTATCTGGTGAACTTCGATTACCATTTCTGTAATAAAACTTGATTTTCGTGGGTGCAATTCCCAGGGTGGCGTAGTCATTATACAAGTTTGAGGTTACCAAAAGTACTGCTCCGGTCACATAATGATATTCATAATTTTGTGCACACCCCATGACCAGACATAAGCTAAGGAATAAGCAGTGTTTGCTACAGTTATTTTAAGGCCTTAAGCCCAAGACAGGGTGATAAAATGAATTATCTGAATGTCAAGGTTATTAGCTGTCCAATCCCAGATGTTTTTCCTTTTCATTCTTCATGTCTCCCTTGCTCTGTTCTGATTTCCTCCTCTCGTCTCCTTGCTCCTTCCCTCTCCCAAACTGTCTGAGAGTGAGTCATTGAATGCATTCCACAACTTTCACACCCAGCTTTTAAAATGGTGCAATGAAATAATAATGTGTCTCATGAGAGAGGGTGAGAGAAAGAGAGTGAAAGAGGGGAA